AGTATTACTTTATCTCTTCTTAATCTATCTGTCGCTTCCCGTTCCGTTACTGCCTGTGCACTTTCGGCTTCTCCCGGTGTTTCTGTACGAGGCATTGGCTCATCAACCACTTCTTCTGGGTCTTTTAGTATTATCGCAGGATTCACATTTTCTTTCACCGTCACTACTAGCATAAATTGGTCCAACCAAATTTTAAAATTCCACGGTGGATCCGAACTAGCTGACGTCCAGAACACTGGGATACCCATGTCCGTTCGATTATCCTGTGCCATGAATCCTGCTGGCTGCGCCATGTGATAAGGGAATGAATGTGGTAACTCAATTGAAAACAACTTTAGTTCAAAGTGTTAATTTAAACTTTGAACGCTAAGTTTTCTTTTCTTATTTCTCGGTTCCGCGAACCAGGTCATCACACCGTATATTTCGTACGTAGAGCTTAACACTAAATAATGAGGCAATTCGATGGTCCACACCAAATGACCTTGATACTAAGTTAATAACAATATAACAGCATAATTACAAATAACAATATGAGTCCCAACGTCAGTGTGCAGCGAGAACATCAATGGCTACTGCACTTGCAGTAAGTGCTGTACCACACCACCCCCCCCCCCCCCGCATATCAATTAACATCCCCCCAATAGACCAAATTAAGATACTCCACCCCAGCGCTTAATTATATAAATTTTAAATTATACTTGCTAAGCGCTGCATGTAAAATGCTCGATTCTGATTGGCTGAAAAATCCCAAGGTTTTAGGGGGGGGGGGGAGGAGGATGTTAACTTGGTCCAGCGGAGGTTCTAAAATCAGCATGGAATGATTGGCAGGTAAAGGCCTGATTAGCAGTTAGAGGCCCATGATTAGACGGCCAGACTTCATCAATCGCTTCATAGTGTATTCATACGAATCTTTGCAAATCGAAGAAAGATCTTTCGACTGAATCTATCTACTAAAATGTCTCTTCATCACTGAGCGGCCAACAAGACGTTTTGCGCAACCTGTGCTTTAGTTTTGCACTTTAATTTAACTTTAAATATCACTGAGTTTACTGAACAGTTTTCAAAAGCACCGCTGTAATATGCCCTCATCTTGTAAAAATTTTTCAAATCGTTCGATCGGTGGAAAATAATAGCATAAACATCAATCATCACTTATTTAGCCTTTTTATGTTGAAAGTATTCAAAAAAATTGATTCAAAATGTTTTACAAAAAAACATATGAGTAAAATCGTTCGCGCTTCTTGCTCAGTCAATCTGATAGACCTAAAAAAAGATCGTCAAAATTTTTGAAAATCCGCCCCCCCCCCCTTGAGTTAATCCTAGATCCGCCCCTGACTATTATCTAACGTCTGTATTTCGTATTTCGTTTTTTTAAAAGAAAATCACGAGGCACTTCGATCAAATTCGAATCATGATCTCATATAGCTTTAAAAAAATAATTGAAACAAATTTAAATTTTCTTTACGACATTCAAGAAAGCTGTCTAATGGTTCGGATTTATAAAATCAATAGGGAAAACTAAAAACGCGCCTTCTTTTGTCGAGACATTCATGTCGAATTTTGCTCACAGTATCAAAACATTTGACTCGTAACGACATGGTCACTGGCGTCAACTGGATTTCCTGGCTCGCCGTACTCTAGTTGTATACTGCGTCGCATTTTGATTTGAAGTTGCCTCATTTCTGAGTTGTCAATCAGATGCGGCATTCGGTTGATTTCAATATCATTCAGGCAGATTGCAGCACGCGCGTGTTCTGGAAGCAGCCAATTTAAGAGCAGGCTCTTTACTTAGAAAAAACTTCAGTGGCTAGACAGAAGTTAGCGCAAGTTATTGTTCCGACTTTCGATACGAAAGTAACGGAATATTTGTGCTCGGGGTGGGTTTCTTCAGACAAATTTCGACTTTTTAACTAACCATTTTTGACGGATTTTTTTTTTCATCATTCAAAAGGTATTGTTGTCCTGAGCTTAATTTTTAAAAGATACTTCACCTGTGATCATTTTTCGTAAAGTTATGAGGGTTTAAAGATTGCCATTTTGACCAATTTGGGACAATTAACGCGCGATATAATTCGCGCTATTAACGCGTAAGCGGATTTTAATCCGTCTTATAAATCACTCCAAATTGGTTGAACGAAGCTTATTGGCCATAATTGATTTGTTACTAGGAGCGAAATCTATTCTTTTGTACTTTATATGGCGTGTGGGGTATGATTTTTATGAAAAATTTCAAATTTTAGAGAAAAAAAATGTTCGTTTCATTTTATTTCTTTTAATTTTTTTTAATGTTATTACTGCTGCTGCATAAACCTCAAAGGCAGTCGGAACATTCAGGGCTTCGCCCTGATACGAGCAGTCTTGTTTTGTTTGAAATTACTTTTTGAGAAAGTCAGCGAATTCTTTTCAGTGCACTGAATTTCCGACTTACGCATGGGTTTTGTGCGTAGCTCGAAAAATTCAACACAAAATTCTCAAGCAGTGAGAAAACGAGTTTGAAATTAGCCTTCATCTTTAGATATCAATGTTTCAAGCGCATTTTACACTTTAAAGTTTTTATTCGAAACACCAAAAGTCCGTATTTCGATGTGAAGCCAACCAAAAAATACTCCCGACAGTTTCGAGCTTCTCCTTTTTGTTCCGCATTTGTCTCCAAAATTGTTTTCAATATTAGAGATGCCTATGCCAAAAAACAGCTATTATAAGAAACAAGACTGCTCGTATATCAAGGCGAAGCCTTGAATGTGCCGACTGCTCTTGAAAAGTTTTTTTTTGGTTGAATAATGACAAAATGATTGAGACTTTTTCCCATTTTTTCTTCATTTTCTCGCCTCACGCTATGTTAAAAACTAAACGTGTCTTTGCCGTCTCGTAAGAGGTTTCAATTGCTGGCCTGAATTCAATTTGGAATACATTAATTTGCTTCTTACGCGTATTATAAGTACGCAATATATCGAACTTTAATTTTCCCAGTTTTACCAAATTAGCCATTTTTAAACCCCGAATTTTACAAAAAAAATCACCGGTAAACTATCTTTTTAAATTTGAGCTTAAGTCAACAATATCTTTTGATTGGTATAAAAAGTTTCTGTAAAAAACGCTGGGTTAACAAGTCAAAAAATGACTGAATAAAAAAAAACCCACCAAACACAAAAACGAAGCTCGGGCGCAAATTGAAACCGGAAGAAAATCAGATTGCCTGCTATGGTTTATCGACCAGTAATAACATGAAAAAAATTAAAGGTAGTAAAATAAAATGAAAAAAAAATTAAATTTGAGATTTTTTTGTGAAAAACTTCTTTTCACACGCCATATAGAGTACAAAACGATGAAATTCGCTGCTAGTAACCAATCAATTATGGCAAATAAGCTTCCTTCAATTTATTTGGAACAGTTTCTAAGACGGGTTAAACATTTTTTTTGTGAAAATCATCCCCCCCCCCCCACACACACGCCATATAGAATACAAAGTGATAGATTTCGTTGCCAGTAACAAATCAATTATGACAAACAAGTTTCCTTCAATCATTTTGGAAAAATTTCTAAGACGGAATATTTATTACCATAATGGACAAAATGGCAATATTTAAATCCCCATAAATTTACGAAAATCCATGACAGGTGAAAAATTTTTCAAATTTAAGCCCAAGACAACAATACATTTTGAATGATAAAAAAAATTTCGCCAAAACTGGCTAGTAAAACAGTCAAAGTTTGTTCGCAGAAAAAACCCACCCGAGCTCAAATATTCCGTTACTTTCGTTATGAAAGTGGGAAAAACAAGACTGCTCGTATCAAGCTGAAGTCCCAAGTGTTCCAGCTGCAATTTAATTTCTATGCAGTAGTTTCAATTAAAATAATCGATGAAAATTTCAAAAGAAATAAAAACACTTGAAAACTTTTTATGTTAAGTGCAAAGGGATATACTTTGCATAAGGAAAAACCATGAATTGCTTCAATCCAGTTTGGAGCGATTTATAAAACAGATTAAATCTCCTCTTACGCATGAATAGCACAAAATATATGGCAAATTTTCCCAAAATAGCCAAATTGGCCGTCTTTAAACCTCTCTATTAAACTTTTCGATAGTAAAATGCCCGTCAAAAATTGCTATTAAAAATTTAAAAATTATCAGAGAAAAAAACCTCCGAGCACAAACATTCCGTCATTTTTTTCAAAAATAATTGGAACAAAAATAAGTCGAAGCCAACATTTAAAATATGAAAATGCTCTTGCAGCAAAAATAACATCAGGAAGTCTAACAAGAGGCCAAACAAAAATGAAAAAACGAGAAAAATTTTTAATTTCAATATTTATCACGGAAAACGTGTCGTCATGAAAACTCTCATGCGGCAAAACACATAAATTGCTGGCACAGTTCGAAACCGACCATAGTTCGAGTTTTCGGAGACGTAAGAGTGCAAAGAAAAATTCATCGTTATGACGCAATATATGGTGTGAGGGGCAGTGTTGGTTGCGCGAAGTTACAATTAACTTTAGAACCAGCCATCCAGAGCAGGTCATAAATTTGTTTCTCAGGAGTAATAGTCAGGATTCCTTTTTAATCAGATTGAAGTATTAGAAAACTTTAAAAAAACGGCCAATTTCCCAACAAAAAAATTGCCATATTTTTTAATAGTCAGTTGCTTTGCTAAAGAAATCATAACACAAAATAAAGAAGCCCGATCGCCAGTTTAAACACAACTAGTGCACAATAATTTTACAGAATCAAAAAAAAAATTCAAAAACAAAAATCGGTCTGATATCGAGACACTGATTGGAAAAAAAATATTCAGTTTATAAAAACGTACACTATAAAAACGGCACAAAAGTAGCGGGGCGCAAATATATATGTTCCTTAATTGATCAAATTAGGGTAAATAACTCAGAAAAAAAGTTGGATGATTTTTGCAGAAACGAACATGCATTCAAAAATTTATATCCTGAGAGAAAACCACGAGTCAAGTCAGAATGAGACTGCTTCTTAAATTGCTTGCCTTTGAAATCCACTGCAACATCACCTTCGGCTTTCTCTTCTTGATTTTTAGGTTCCATATTGTCAGCCTTAGAACTATTGGGTTGGCAAAAACGCATCAATGAACAGATGTGTTTTTTCATGTTCTCACGGAAAAACTGGTTTTGAATAGTAAAAAGCAGCAAAACAATTGGCATGTTAAAGGTTGCAATAATCAGTGATATGTTTCTAGTAAGAAGTGTTAGTAAGATGTTTCCTTCAAAACTAAACCCTGTGGAAAAGCTGTCGGCTTCGATAGCACTCGAGGTCAGAACTAGAATTATCCTGGCCACTGAAAGTAAAAAGAAAGTGATACTGCATAACACAGATCCCGTAGTCATAGATTTCTCGATTTGCCATTCGTCATATGAAACTTGCTCCATACCGCGTAGTACTGTTTTCATTATTCTGAAAACAAAACGAAAAATGAGTTTAATTTTGCATTTTCAAAAAGAATAGTTTATCAAAAGTTGATGGCATTTTGTCGGAATTTTAGATCGGTTTAAAACCTTTGCGATATCTTTTTCTACTTCAATTGATCTTTGAGCCATTTTCAAGTTGATGTCTATTTTTTAATATTTTTTTGAGAACTGAAACAGTTTTTGACATATCTATTTTCATAAGAGTTCAAAGGCAGATCTCAGGTTTTTCTCGAAGAGGGGAGTGGAGTTGTTTGGTTTTAAAGATCGAGTATTTTTCAGGTCAACCAAACTGGTTAGGTAGCAGTAAGTAGGCAACCGCGTGTTCGTACTCGTCAAGGAGTAGAAAAATACTGAGATAACCAATCATCATCGAGATCAAAAACCCACCTTGAAAACTTCGTTTTACAGACCGCACTCCACCAACTTGACATTCCGAGCTATAAGAACCTTATTTTACCCAAATTTCCTGAGCGCCGCAGGCAAATGTTTGTAAAACAGGCCAAAAAGTACGTTATATGGAATTTTTTTGAATTTTTTGACTCTTCCCTCGAAATTGGTATCTGTTGGAGCCAAAGGCGCCATTAGTAAAATTTTGGGGTTGGCATCTAAAAAAGGCATGTCTTAGGATAGCATCAAAGGTGCCCTTGGGTGGTCAGCGGGTCGAATTCAAGAGGTAAAGAGTGTCCGCTGCTTACAAGCCTACGGTTAAATGCCAATACTCGGACATAAATGTCAAAAAAAATGATCGCTACGTCGAAAATGGATGCAAAAAAAAGTTGTCTATTTTTTGGTAGGCGTTTGAACTTCTTACAATAGTCTGGGAGACAGATCCTTTTAGACCAGGATTACGTCTTTAAAAATGAGATAGATAAAATTGATGTCCGCTTCAAATTTAATTAATGCGCGCTCACCTCAGCTTTCTCATAACAAATGCATTGAGTAAAACGTTCATTATCAATGGTGTTACGGTGAAAATAACACCATAGCCCAGAAATAATAGCTTGAATTTCTGTGTAATTTTGTCTTCAATGATACAAATATTGTAAGATTGGTCGATTTCGAAAAACAAAAATATTGGAAAATAAGACAGAATTGTCACAGTAAAATTGACAATAGTTCCCATAACTGGATAAAAGAAATTGAACATGAGACGTTGCCTGTACCAAATAAAGTGTCTCATTGCTAAGACGCGATCTACAGTCAGGAGAAGTTGTTGGTTGTAAGAAGCAACTATCAAGGATATGCCCAGCCATCGAGAGAGTTTGCAATGTAGAGAGGACAAATCTGCATACTGTAAGCTAAAATCACGAAAATAAACTTTGTTAAGGGCTAAAAGACTGCTCATGTCAAGGCGAAGCCTTGAGCGTTCCGTTGTCGTTTTAATTTCTATGGCGTATATTAAAAGAAAAAGATTGATGAAACTTTAAGAAAAAAATCAAACTTTTACTTTGGTTTCTTTAATCATCCCGCACTCGCTATGTTAAGTACAAAAGGATATATTTTGCGTTTAGCAATGTATTAAATAGACAAAAAGCATGATGTCTCAATCCAATTTGGAACGATTACTAATACAGATTAATTCTCCGCTTACGCGTTAATAGCACCAAAAAAATCGCCCATCAATTGTTCCAAGTTGGCCAATGGGCAATCTTTCAACCCTCTTAATCACTTTCTTCAATTATCACTTTCTTCAATTATCAAAAAGATTTTGTTCCGACCTCTCGCCTTCCTAAAGATTGGGTAGAAAATTTGACTTCCGGTTAATTTTTTGACGCAAAAGTAGGTATTTCAAAACAAAGTTATCAAAATTACCAAAAACGAGTTATCGAAATTGCACTGCAAAAAACATCAAAGCTAAAGTAATAAAGCCCTTCAATTTAGATTCCAAAAAGTTTTTGAAAACTTTATTGAGAAAAAGAGATAATTTTACGTTGTCTTGTATTTTATGATTCATTTTTTTGCATCATATTCTTTAATTCAGTTTCTTAGTTAGTTGCTATGTGTTATTAGTTGTTAACTTGTGTGAAACACATCGATAGCTTTATGAAATGTTTCATAAAATTTCGAAATTTCCCTAAAATAATTTTGACTGTTTACTAAAATACTTTTTTTTCTGAAACGCTTCTCGCGAAATGCATAATCTATATGTAGATCTGAAAATTTTCCACGTGTAATTCTGAATTATTTTAATCCTTAATCACGTGATAGGATTTCATTAAAAATGTTTGGCAATGTTAAACTTTTTCTTTTTCAATGTGTTTTCGATGTTATCGAATCAGATGCTATCATAGATTTTTTTTGTAGAAACCTTGTAAATTATGAGATCGTTTTGTGGTAAATCAAAACAAAATCTACAACAGGGAAACGTTTTGTAGGATGCTCAAGCCGAGTAGCTTTCAATCTGAGATGAATGCGGCACTGCACTAACACAAAACTAGATGGTTTTGCCAAAAAAAAAAGAATTGTGAAATACTGCTTTTTGTCATCACCCGTTTGTCATTACGTCCGAATAAATGTTTCAAATAATGTCCCACGAATTTTTTATAAGACTTCGAAGAAATGGTTTTCTTCAAAAAATTTGTATCAAAAAGGTAATAAATATGTATTTTCATTAGCGTCTCATTTCCTGTATCAGATTTATAAGTCGGCCAGTTAAAATTTACTTTTTGCGCAAAAGTCAGAATAAGTTATTAATAAGGCCAGTTCATCATCCAAAAACACCTCGTAAAAATGTTGGAGCTGCTTTTTAACCATTTGTTTCTGAACAACAGCAAAAAGACCAAAAAAAACAGCCGTGTTGCGGATTTCGCAACTAACACAAAAAGGTACAATTTGGAATCCTAATGCATATTATGCTTACCCAATGAGACCAAGTGACTGAATAATATCTGTCGATGCTAAGAGAATAATGTAGAGTCTGGAAGCTCTTTTAACTCCAGTTTTGAAAATTGTGAACTCTATAACTAAACAACTGATAACAGCAATAGAACAAACAAGTGGGAAAATAAAATTTCTGGTAATTCTGACCGCTTCTTTGAGCTTGGTTTCAATGTCTAACGAGCCAACTATTGACAAATTGTTTGTAAGGTCATAACTTCCTATTTCCATTGTAATATTTTTGCGAAACTATCCTCGGTTAGTCAGAGGCGCAACATCATGTAACTGTAAATTATTGAAAAAAAAAAACGGCTTTTCTTACTTGCGTTCGCAAAAAAAAATGAAAAATAGTTATTGCGAGTTATCTTTATCTTTTGGTTGATAAAACATCAGCTAACTAACGTAAATTTGTGCAATTAGTCAGCAATTTGGAACAATATTTTTTGTTTGTTGGAGTATTATAAAAGAACAAATGGGTCGAATAAATGGGTTGCTTTTTGTTTGTCTTTCTCGTTAAAAACTCATTGGGAGTTAACGGTATTTATTACGTCAGCATTTTAAAGAATTATCACATTCAAAAGCATCCAAAAATGACTTTGAAGGAACCAAAAAATGTACAGCTTTTAGTCAACTGGATAAGAAAATTAATTTTTTCGGCAGCCATCAGTCATAGAAAATAGCAAAACAAGAGTTCAAATGTGTGGAGATTAGTAAAAACTAATTGGGCTTTATTGATGTTATATTCGGTGAAAACCAATTTTGTATAACTTCAGAGTGACAAAAAGACATTTAAACGTCTTCCTTAAGCCATGAAAAATTGAATACATAATTTCCTCTCTTTTTGTCGTTGTCTTCGCAACAGTTTCTCTGCGACTTGCGTTTGAAACTGTTTAAAACAAAACAATAAAACAATGATTTTTTGTTTGTTTTTTTTTCAATTGAACAAATCCGTCCGTGTTTTGTAGTTGAAATGTTTTCTTTAACATGGGATGGAATTCGAACTTTTGGACCACACATTCAATTAAATCGTCAAAAAATTAAGAAGGGGTAATGAAATCTTCAAACATAGGGGGAGCGGGGGGCACTTGAAATTGTCAAAAGTATGCGTTGGGGGACAAATTTGAATATGAAATAGAGGTTGTGCGGAAAACATGTTAAAAAGAGGGAAGTAAAAACTATATTTCCTCCCGGGTTGACCAAGAGTCCCTATCTAAGAACTTAGAACTTTTTTAAGACTCTAAGACTATTACAACTTCTAAGAAAAATAGACTCTAAGAATGTTACAAGATGGGGACTTTTTATTATTTTTCTTCCCAACACCTTTTACAAAAGCCTTTTGCTTCGTGTCGCTTAAAATTAGTCCTTTTTTTGAATTTTCTTTCACAAGTTCGAGCTGCTAAGCCACTCGTACCATATTAGCTCCTTTCTTCATTATATACTTTTCTAAGAAACTTTTTTGTTCAAATTATCCTCTTGCACAAATTCTTGTTTTGAATTGGGCGATCTTAAACCGAGAAATAACTCCAATTCCAATTTTTGTTCCGACATCTGTAACCACTGTTTAACTAATCATTTTTGACCAAATTTATTTATATCAATCAAAAGCTTTTGTTGTCCTGAGCTTAAATTTGAAAAGGTATTTCACCTGTGATCGTTTTTTGTAAAGTTATGAGGGTTTAAAGATTGCCATTTTGGCCGATTTTATTTTCGGTCATTCGACTACGAGTTTTTCGCGCATTCGGTCCTTCGCGCATGAGAATAGTCCCCCAAATATCAGCCAGAGCTACTGTCCAGCCAGAGCTACTGTTAATTATTTTTGCTGAATACACGACCAAGAAAACAATCAACTTCTAATGAAAATTCAAAAACACTTATCAAGCGGCAACTGGGCCCTCAAACTTTCGTGAAATTCCTGAAGAACTGAATCCAAACTCGTTGACATGAAAAGGTTTGAATTATTGTTCCGACTTTCGATACGAAAGTAACGGATTATTTGTGCTCGGGGTGGGTTTTTTTTTTCTTCAGACAAATTTCGACTTTTTAACTAGCCAATTTTGACGGAATTTTTTTACATCATTCGAAAGCTATTGTTGTCCTGAGCTTAAATTTGAAAAGATAATTACCTGTGATCATTTTTTGTAAAGTTATGCGGGTTTAAAGATTGCCATTTTGGCCGATTTGGGACAATTAACACGCGATATTTTTCGAGCTATCAACGCGTAAGCGGAGATTTAAACCTTTTTAGAAATCGTTCCAAATTGGTCAACGAAGCTTATATGCCACAATTCATTTGATAGTACGAGCAAAATTTATCACTTTGTACTTAATATGGCGTGTGGGGGGGGTGTTTTCACTAAAGATCTCATTTTTTTAAAATAAGTTTTTATTTTTTTTTACATTTAAATTTTTGTTATTACTGCTCTATTGACCTGAAAAGGCAGTCGGAACATTCAGGGCTTCGCCGTGATACGAGCAATTTTGTTTTCTTTTGAATCTAGCGTTTTTTAAAACTGGCTGAATTGTCTCAGGCGCTGAATTGTCTGTTTAGTTCTGGCCGAATTGTCTGAATTTGAAATTGGCTGAGTTGTCTTTGGCTGAATTGTCTGCGCGCCATACAAATATGAGGTGGAATCCCTCATACGCGAAGTATCGAATGCGCGAAAATAAAAATCAACCAGTCAGATTTCAGTAATCTAAAATTTGGAAAGAAAGTAAACATTTTTCGGGAATGAGTATTGATATTGGCCGATTATAAAAACGGCAGAAATATTTCAAGAGTTTCGTTATGAAAGAAGCAAAACATTTTAAAAGCTTTTTAAAATTTGACTTTCGGCTAATTTTATTTTCGGTCATTCGCCTACGAGTTTTTCGCGCATTCGGTCCTTCGCGCATGAGAATAGTCCCCCAAATATCAGCCAGAGCTACTGTCCAGTTTCACTGAACGCCTTGGTTTTTTTTGCAACGTTTTGAGCGAAATGCATTGTCCTTTTCTTCTGCGTCAAGATTTAAACACAAAGATTCATGCAAAAATTGAAAACAAGTTGATTTTTACTGTATAGCTCCATTTTTATGAATTAGTGAAAACAGTGTCTTAAGTTCTCAGATGAGAAACCATTATGCATTTTTAAATTTTTGACAGAGCTCATTACGATCAAAGAAAGGAAAGAGCTGCACAGCACAGCAAAAATGTTGTCAACTTTCAAAAAGGTTGTCAAAAAGGTTATCAATTCACACGAAAACTGAAATGAGTCAATTTTTGAATCGCTAAGAAAAATGATGATTATTATCCTAAAGTATCATCCGAACTTTTTCAAAAATAAAAAAGTATTCATCCCAGAAGGTGAATACAATCAAATATAATGCCTTAGACGGCTAATTTTCGGATAACGAAGTGTCTTTGTTGGGTAAGTAAGATACAAGATTTTTCTTTAATCTTGTTTCTAGTAAAGATTATTTTTTTCCTTTTTAGGCTAAAACCATTTAAAAAGGAACTCAAAATAGCCAATTTATTTAACTTAATTATGGGGAATTTATTCCTCACCCAATATCAAAAATGCTAAATGAATTTCCACTCTGGAACACCTGTGAACTGACCTGTAGTTCCAATGGTGCTCTTCCTGGCAGTAAAACTGCTGGTGTGGTTTGTAGGAATATTTAATTAAGAACACACAAAAGAACTGCCCGAAAACCGTTCATAGTTTTTTATTATGATTATTGTTTTGATATTTTTATTCTGATAATCGAGATAGGGGCATGGAGTATTCACCCAAAGTTCACATAATTCACCCGGGACCCCAAAAGTCCAAAAGACGGTAAATTCTTGTATATCCTTTGCTGGTGTGCTCGATCCATAATTTGACCCAGAAAGTCAAACGATATCCTCCGTGTTTGACTTTTTGAGGCAAACTATGTCCATATTTAATTTCGTTTAACCTTGCTTCAAGTTGCTACAGAATTTAAAATTATTCTATTCAAAGGTAACGCACTGGTCGAGCTCGTGGTTTCATGTTGATGTAAAACTTTGATACCATTTGAACGAATTGACTACCTCAGAGATATATACTCAGCAAACGGTAAAAACTTACACATACCTTCTAAAGATGGTGTCCGTAATTTCGGAAAATCTTACAAATTAAAAAATCGAAACTTTTTCAAGCACCTGGGTCGATGGTGTAATTTCATGTTCAGACCGCTGGGACCACGTTTTGTATGTTCAAACCGCTGGAACCAGAATTTCATTTTTTCAGAATGTTGGCATCAAAGCTTAATTTAACAATGCTCACCCATTTTATCTATCAGCATATTTCATCATGGCGTGACTGCAGCTAAATTTTCAATACAAAAATAAGATTCGTTTCTCCTTAAAGCTGTCAACTTTTTTATTAATTTTGCTTCATAAGCATTTTTTATGAGTAAGCTAACGATAGGGCCACACAATTTCGTTTACGGTCACCAGTCTTCCAAGAACGCCATTACTACTTCCTTTGAAGAAATTAATTAAAAAATGTAAAAATGGTTGTTGAGGGGGGGGATTTTATTTTCAAAAAAATTTCGAATTTTTTTTTGTTTAGGTCGAACAAATTGATTTTTCGAGCTCTCCCAATGCACTGTTTTGTCCCTATTTTGACCAAATTTTGACCAAAAACCGCGTTTTTTCGGCGCGCGCTCCCCTCTCAAAATTAGTATATATTGGCACCTGAGGCGCCTTTAAAAAAATTTTAAGGTCCATCACCAAAAATGGATATTGGAAAATAGTACAAAGGGGGGACCCTTTGTGTCGGCAGGGGGTCGAATCCCTGAAAAGAGGCGTCATGTAAGAATAACATCGTTTCATCTCTCATTAAAATGGGATTGAATTTTTCAATGAATTCACTTCACAAAATGGCTATACAATTTTACTATAAAAAAAATGTTCTCACTTACGAATTTTTTTTTTCAAATAATGATTACTTTGGTGTTAAGATTGAGTGACAATTGTAAATAACCGTATTTGTCAAGAAAACAAAGTATTACTAAATTGGTTGACCCTGCTGGCTTTCATCAACATCAACTTTGACCTTGAACGACAAAAATATTTGTTTCAATTTTTTCCTAAAACTGCACGGGTTAAAGGCCCCAAAATAAGTTTCCCAGATTTTCAAAAAAGTATCAAAATTCTTGTCGTTCTATTGAATTTCTCGGTGAGTCGTATCCTCTACCACGCTTTCACTCTACTTAACGGCAGCAGAGTTTTTCCCCTTTATACCGTGTAATCGCTAGGGGACTAGGGCACAAGTTTATGCACAATCTCAAAAAGGTTATGTTGATATTCAG